TAAAATAAATATTTTTTCAGTGTAATACAAAGGTTAGAATACTAATAATAGTAAAGAAAGAACACTAAAGCAAAGTATACAAAAGAAAAGGATATTAAAAAAGAAAACAAAGAAAAGTATTCTAAAGAAAGTACTAAAAAACACTAAAAAAATATTTATGAAAAGAATAAATTCTAATGCGAAGAAGTGAGTACTAAAGAATATTGTACTAAAAAAATACTAAAGAAGAAAACACTAAAGAAAAGAATACTAAAAGAGAAAACACTAAAGGAAAGAATACTAAAGGAGAAAATACTAAAAAAATCATACTAAAGAAAAGATACACTAAAGAAGAGTATTCGAAAGAAAAGAATACTAAAGAAAAGAACATTAAGGGATAAAGAAGACTATGGAAAAGAATACTCAAGAAAAGAATACTCAAGAAAAGAACACTAATGGAAAAAATATTAATGAATACAAAACATTCTACACTGAAAAGAAAATTACATTTAAGTCAAATAACCGATTACTTCTCTATTATAAAAAAATATTTAGTTGAATCAATTAATTTTCATTAAAACCAAATAAATTATATTTTATTTGGCTTTCATATTTTTATAAATTGTACTCAAATAAATTTAAAATTAAAGTAAATACCATTTAATTAATTTGAACAAAACTTTTTTGATTCAAGTGAATATTTATTTGATAATTGCCAAATAATCGGTTATTTGAATGAAATAAATATTTTTTTCAGTATAATGCGAAGAAAAGAATACTAATAACAGTAAAGATAAAAACACTTTAAAAAATATACTAAATAAAGCACTAAAAACAAGAACACTAAAAAAATATTGACGACAAGCAAACATTCTAATGCGAAGAAATGAATACTAAAGAAAACAACACTAAAGAAAAGAATACTAAAGGAGAAAACACTAAAGAAAAGAATACTACAGAAGAAATACTAAAGAAAAGAATACTAAAGGGGAAAACATTGAAAAAAGAATACTACAGAAAAAAACATTAAAGAGAAGAATGCTAAAGAAGACAAAACTATGTAAAAGAAGACTAAAGAAAAGAAGACTAAAGAAAAGAGGACTAAAGAAAAGAATACTATGGAAAAGAATACTAAAGAAAAGAATACTAAAGAAAATAAATACTAAAGAAAATAAATACTGCTAATGAAAAAATACTAATGCGCAGGAAAGAATACAAATCAGCAGAAAAAGAATACCAAAGTGATGAAAAGAATACTAAAGAGAAGAAAAGAAGACTATTGATCAGAATACTAAGACTAACACTAATAGTGATATTACCATAAGTTACTGCAACTAAAACTGAAAAAATCAGTCTAATGAGAATACTAGTCGGAAAAAATAAGTTCTCATAGTAGCACAAATAATAAATTCCAATTAGATGACTAATAAGAAATTACAAGAACTGAAAATTACAATATGTATCGCGCATGGATAAATAATTTTATAATATAAAACGAAGATTATGCATGTATTTTATATATATACGCAATGTCAGAGAATTTATAGGCGGAATATTTTTAAGAGTCGCACACACGTCTTTACATTTCAAATAAGTCGAACGCTCTCTCGCGTCCCTGGACCCCTTATACGTATTCATTATTTGCTACGCGCGTCTCAGTTCGAATCACGCTGGACATCCGTTGTTGCTCTTCGAGATCGAATTTTCTTATTTGTCATAAATTAGAGCTCGATCGCGAAACCTTTCTTCCAAGATTCCAATGTTCGATTCTACATTTATACATATTCTCCTTTTCTCTCTTTCTCTCTACCTCTCGCTCTTCTTTTCGAAACTAAATGCGAATACGCCTTTGTCGTTGACGGATCTTTCCAATTTAACGTTAACATATGGACTTCAATTTATACATCATTATTGTTTTTCTGCGGTATCATTAAAAGTAAAAAGTATGGTTATAGTATATTAAAAATGAAAAGGGCATTAAGTATTTAAAGCAAAAAACTGTATTAAGTACTGAAAACAGAAAACCTGAAAAATACTGAAATACTGAAAAATAAACCTTTATAAAAAATAACACTATTAAAAAAAAACCTTACTAATTATAAACAATAATTACATCAACTGAATAAAATATTAAAACTACTGCAACCATCCCATTTTTCCAATGATATCAAAATTGAGACAAACAACGAATTAAAATTGTTGCGATTCGTTGTTTGTCTCAATTTTGATATCATTGGAAAAACTGTATGAAAACTATTATAAACCATAATTTCAGAAATAAAGAAACATGTAAAAAAGAAGATTGAAAAAAGGGATAATGTAATGTAGCTCTAATTAGATGTAAGATAAATGCAAAGTTCCTTGGTGTGTGTATGTATATGTATTTGTGTGGGGGTTACATACACGCGAGGGGGGATAAAGTTGAATTGGAGAATCGTAAATTTGTGAAAACAAATGTGGTATAGGGAATCTGTAACGCAGTGAATCGAATCCGCAAGCAAGCCCAACCCATCTTATACGTTTGTGGAGAACTGTCCTCGTTATCTTTTATAGATAGGCAACCCCACCCCCCTCCCCCTCCCGCCCTACAAACCGCCTCCATATGGAAGGCCCACCACTGCCATTATCACGTGAATCCTTATTTATAGAAAATCGATCGTATTCAAATCCTTTCCAACTTCTTTCTCCCATTCTCCCGAATGGCAATGCACATTCTTACCCATTCAGTGTGTTTTCCACCCTACTGCTAGATTTTTTTTTCTACCCCTTCTATTTTTTTTTCTTTTTTTATTCTCTGTCTCTCTTACTCACTCTCTGTCTCTCTTACTCACACTCTGTCTCTCTTACTCACACTCTGTCTTTCTTACTTACACTCTTTCTCTCCTACTTATATTCTCTCTTACTCTCTTTCTACTTGTCTCTTACTTTCTTTTACTCTCTTTCTGTCTATTTCTCCCTTTCTTTTACTTTCTATCTCTTTCTCTTATTCTCTCTATTTATCTTATTCCATTTCTATTTTATTCTCTGTCTCTTTTATTCTCTTTCTGTCTTTCCTCCTCTCTCTCTCTCTCTCTCTGTCTCTCTAATTCCTTTTTTATCTAGAGAAAGAGGGAGAACTCCCTTTCTCCCTTTTAGTCTCTCTTTATCTCTCTCTCTCTCTCTCTCTCTCTCTCTCTCTCTCTCTCTCTCTCTCGAGGAATAGTAGATCGATTAGGCAATTCAAATGATGAGACCGCATCCCTTTTTTTTATTTTAAATCCCACTTTCTTTGCAAGATTCATTCTTATTACTTATACTCAGACGAACAGGAATAAAAGTAAAGTTTCAGTTAAAAGAGTATTTGTTTCTAATGTATGATAACTGTTAACTGAAACTTTAACTATTCCTTCTTAAACATAATTTCTTTAAAACTCAACATTAGTATGAAACTGAAGTTACCAACGTTGATTCAACGAAAAAAAATTTTTTCTAAAAAGTTCAGGATACAAATTTTTCTTGCTTATTTTTAACCCAAGTAAACCCACCATTATGATTAGAGTCTAATAATAATAAGCTTTGTTGCAATTTTCGATGCGAGGACCAGCGTGGTTTTTCAAGACACACATTTTTTCTAAATCGAAAATAAATTTTAAAAAATATCTGATTATCTAGATGTTTTGAAAAAAATTTGAAACTACTGTAGTTTGCGCAGTTTTCGACAAAAATGGCTGGCTAACGAACTTGATCTGTATTTTAACACTAACTTTGTGCATACAAAGTTGCAAGTTGATGCAATAAGTTTTTCCAGAGTTATCGTAGGGACACCATTGTGTCTACAGACAGACACGAAGACAGACATACGGACAGACACTTTTTTTAGACCATGTTTTTCGGACTCAGGGGACCCCAAAACGTCGAGATTTCATGAAATTAGCGAAAGTCAATTTTCGACCAAAACTAATACTTTCTCATATGATGAGAATGTAATAAAAAATTAGTTTTTTGCAAATAAGTCGAAAAGTTTTAAGTTTAGTGAAAAGTTGTCAACAGCAAAGTTGTAGCTGATGGTAAGACGAGAAAAAAAGTCTCTGGCAGCAAGCTCCCATAGGCAATAGTTTTGGAGATAATTGAGTCGGAATATGGATTTTTTGTTAAAAAAATGATAAAAAATATATATATATACGGTGGTTTTTTCGGAAATTACTAGTTTTTGGTTAATGTGAGCATTTTTTGAGTACAATGGGGTGAGAATATGTGGAAATTAATGTAATAATTTTTTTCTCTTTGAGAAATTTTGATTTTTAGCTTTATTTTAGAATTTTTGAGTATTTTTTTACTATTTAAGAGCCTATAACTTCGAAATTTGACTTTCTATGAAAAAATGTTGTAGAGAAAAGTTGTTTGTATTTGTCTAATCTAAAGTAATATAAAGTTAAAAATAATGAAATTTGAAAAAATTGAATTTTCAAAAATTTGAAACTACTGTAGTTTGCGCAGTTTTCGACAAAAATGGCTGGCTAACGAACTCGATCTGTATTTTAACACTAACTTTGTGCATACAAAGTTGCAAGTTGATGCAATAAGTTTTTCAAGAGTTATCGTAGGGACACCATTGTGTCTACAGACAGACACGAAGACAGACATACGGACAGACACTTTTTTTAGACCATGTTTTTCGGACTCAGGGGACCCCAAAACGTCGAGATTTCATGAAATTAGCGAAAGTCAATTTTCGACCAAAACTAATACTTTCTCATATGATGAGAATGTAAAAACTCTTCTTTAATAAAAAAAGCTCGACGTGGGAACTTAAAACATCTCATATTAAGTTGTTTGTAACCCTAAGCATTTCACAGATTTATCAGTTTGATAAATCAAATTGATACTAAAATGGATCAAATGGATGACAAACATTTGCGGATCAATTTTTTATTTAATCCTCACATTTTTGGTATCAATTCGTTGCAATTTGATACTTTTAAGTTAGCAGCCTTTATTCTAATGAATAGCAAATAACATATAAAAAAAAAACAAACCTTGTTTTGATGTTGATGAAGACGATGCTAATGATGATGTTGATAATGATGATGAAGATGATGATGATAACGAAGACAAAGATGATAATTTTCTCTTGCAGTGTTGCGACGAATTACTTCTTCAACGAACTCCTTTGTTGATATTTTCCAATGACAATGTTGTAGGAACAAAAAGTTGAACCTTGAATTATACAAGAATTTGAAAATATTAAACGAGCATTACAAGAAATTAAATTTTACTTTCTTATAAATTTAAATTAATACCCAAAAAAAAGCCAAACTAAAAACCATCACCGTTTTTTCTAAGAATAATATCAAATTGAGACAAGCAACGAATAAAAATTGTTGCGATGCAGCAAATTTCTTTACGTTGTTTGTCTCAATTCTTTTTAATCACAATCTATCAAAATTATTGCTGCATCGCAACAATTTTAATTCCTTGTTTGTTTCAATTTGATATTTTGATATCTTTGGAATTTTGATAAGTTGTTTGTTTCAATTTGATATCCTTTAGAAAAACTGTCACAAGTTAGGATTGCATTAGTACAAAACGTGACAGGACCTAGAAATACGGCCCACAATTGGCCTATAGTTAACAAAGGGTAAAATTATTCACGATCAAGTTGGGTTTTCACACGAATATGAAATCAGATAATCATACAATGATGAGGCATTTTTATCTTGAAATCAAAACGCAAAAAAATGTTTCATGAAACAAATGGAGAGTGACTTTAAGTTTTAAATAACTTTCTAAACCTCGTTCGAATTGCGAGGACGAGAGCGAGAGAGAGAGAGAGAAAGAAAGCGTTTTTTAAGAAAACTAATCAAAAGACAATTATAGTTTGTAAACAGAGAAAAGTTGAGTAGCTTCTCTTATTTTTGTATGCATTAGCTGCTGGAAAGTCACAAAGTTGAAAGAAACGCGGATGAGTGGAGAGGTTTCGTGGATACACATATAGAGAGTGAGAGAGAGGGACAAAAAAGTGAAGGAGAAAAATAGAGAGAGACAAAAAAAGGAAAAAAAGTGAGAGAGAGAAAGAGAGAGAGAGATAAGCCAGTTCTCAGGTAATACAAGTCGGTAGCTTGTCCCGTATGAACTAATTTCAAATTCATTCCCCAACTCGCTTTCGGAGAAAAATCTCATTTTCTTGGCCCTAAGGGTCTCCCCCTTGCTCTCTCTCTCTCTCTCTCACTCTCGCGAAACCGGGCAATATTTGCCTAAGGAAATTCAAGAAAGTTTACACACGTGCCGAGCGCAGTACTTTCGGGGTTGTGGGACACGGGTTTCTTTAGTCAATTTTCCATCTTCCCGGGCAACTATATATATATGTGTATATCCAAAGGACCGACCCTCTTAATAATATCCAGGAGAAAAAAGTATATATGCTCACTAGAAAACGTATTTCCAGATTCAAGAATGTATTAGTGATTCTTCCTCTCTTTTTCTTTGCACGAAAGTGTGCACTAGACATGCGGATATTTATGCAAGAGCGTGTACACGGATAAACAGTTTCCCATAAGCTCTACTTGGCCTTTTTAAAGATCCCAAAAAAGAAGGAGCGAAAAAAAGATAAAGTATTCCATCGAAAATTATTCATTTAAAACGGTTACAAATATGATTTAGTTTTAATTTTAAGAAACATTTTCGTCATAGAAGAAATAAAGCAGAAAATGGATTATTTTAATCATTTTTTGGTGTAAATAAAACTTTTTAAGTCCTCACAGTTTACTGTGAATACTAAATCGAATAGAAGAATACTAGTGCCGTCAGATGATTAAAACGACAAATCTTCAAACTTTTCTTATTTATCTTCAGAAATCTTTAAACTATAATCAAAAAATGTTCTTCAGATTTTGGTTATAATTTTTTCTAAAATATGATAAATTGAATTTAAATTTCACAAACAATTTTAAAGAAATAATGAAAATTTTAAAGAAATATTGTTGTGTTTAAATCTGTTCGCAGTTTGAAGTTAGTTTTTTGCACTGAAAATTACTAAATTCTTGCAAAGTTCTTATCAAAAAAATTTGTAAATAATTAAAGTCATTTGAAGAATTTTATCAAAATTTTTTTCAAATAATTAAATTCTTTTGAGAAAATTTAATTAAAATTATACTGGAAATAATATTGAATTCTCGCAAAAAACATTATTATTTATAAAAAGAATCAAATTCTTCCAAAGAATTTTATTAAAATTATTGAAAATAATTTAATTCTTAACAAGAATTTTATTAACAATTTTTTGAAATAATTAAATCTTTTCGTGAAATTTTATTAAAATTTTTTTGAAAATAATTGAATTTCTGCGATGAATTTTACTGTTTATAATATAATTGAAAGAAATAATACTATGAAGGAGAATAAAATACTAATGAGAAGAAAATATTACTATTCAGAAGAATAGAATACTAATGAGAAGAAAATAATACTATTAAGAAGAATAGAATACTAATGAGAATAAAAGTTTGAGACTAAATGGGAAGAAAAGAATACTATTGAGAAGAATGGAATACTAATGAGAATAAAAGTTTAAGACTAAATGGGGAGAGAAGAATACTATTAAGAAGAATAGAATACTAATGACAATAAAAGTTTGAGACTAAATGGGAAAAGAAGAATACTATTGAGAAGAATAGAATACTAATGAGAATAAAAGTTTCAGACTAAATGAAAAGAGAAGAATAGAATACTAATGAGAATGAAAGTTTGAGTCCAAATGGAAAAAGAAGAATACTATTGAGAAGTAAAGTATACTAATTGGAGTAAGAAAAAACTAAGGAGAGGAAAAGAATAGCAATAAAAAGAATAAAATATTATTGAGAAGAAAATAATATTTTTAAGAGGAATAGAATACTAATGAGAATAATAGTTTGAGGACAAATGAGAAGAAAATAATACTTTTGAGAAGAATAGAATACCAATGAAAGTAATAGTTCCAAAACAGATAAGAAGAAGAGAATACTATTGAGAAGAATAGAATACTGACGAAAGGAAAAATATACTAATTAGGAGAAGAGAGAACGAATAAATAGAAAAGAATACTAACGAAAAGAACGGAATACTAATGAGAAAAAAATACCAATGTGAAGAAAAAACACTATTAAATAATAGAATACTAATGTGATTAGAAAAATACAAAAGAGAAGAAAAGAGTACAAATCAGAAGGCAAGAATACTTTTGAGATGAATTGAGAGAGGGAGAAGAGAAGAGAAAGAATTTGTTAAAGAGCAAATCGCGCAAGAAGAATAATTATTTAAAAAAAGAACACTTTAGAGAATGAATAATGACGAACTTTCCACAGTGATAATACCTCTCCCCCTCCATTTTACTCCTCAATCAAAAAAAAAAAAAAAAAAACTCCAAAAAAAATGCGGTCACTGACTGAAGTAATTGCTCCTTCCACTGTAAATGCTTCCTCGCCTGGAAATATTCCACAAGGAAAAGTTTAATTTGACGACTCCCCTTTTCTGTTTTCATTGAATCGATTCCAAATTTACTTTTAGCGTAGCCATTGCATTTTAAAAGTGCGCGCGACAAGAAGGAAATCGCGTAATCAATCAAAATGTCCTTTCACGCGATTTTCTTTTTGTTTTCTCCCCCCTATACTCAAAATAAAGAAAAAACGGTCTTTAGTTTGAAAAAAAAAAATTCTTCTTCTCCCCCACTTAATTATAAAAAATCGTAATTTTATTTAGTACATGTATATAATTTATAGAGGACATTTTTGTTTGCTTTTATTAAAAAAGGAAAAACAGGATTCGTGCCTACCGCCATTCGCATCTAAGGGATGAGATGTTTTTTTTTTTCTTTAAATGCGTGCTATGGAGAGACACGGGAATAAAACTGGCACTTTAAAAAAAAAAAGCAGCGTCTTCTTGACATTTACGGGATAATCGCACGCGACGAAACGCGTCATTGCTTGTCTACGAACATATATAGAGAGAGAATATTCCTTCGTATATAGATACAAGGAGGCCTTTAAATGGCTCTCTACGATGAAAATTCTCTCTCTTACTCTCTCTCTCTCTCTTTTTTTTTCTCCCTGACAAAAAGCTCAATTATTACCGTATTATGCTCGTACCGCGTGTTTCTTTCGCGCTCTGTGGTCTCGGGTGGTCAAGTCGACAGTTTCCGCGCGGTAACCAACGTGTTATGTACGAGCGCAATTATCACACAAATACAACCTATCTCTCTCTTTCTCTCTCTCTCTCTCTCCAACAAATACGCACTTAAAACGTCCATCACAAAATTCCCGCGAAATATAAGTCTTTATATTTCAAGTTCGCAGTTAAAAAAATTTTTTTTAAGAAATATGACCGCACTTTTCAAGAAATAACTCAACAAATGAAGAAAAATTGTAGTCTTCATTTTGGCTGACTTAATTATACTTATTTATTTTTTCCACTAATTTATTATTCAAAAACACATAATTATTGTTTCTAACCAAATTAAAAAAAAATTTATATTTTCTGCAACAAAGGCGTACAGTCCAGCTGGTCAATAAAGTACTCATTATTGCCCTAGGGCAATAATGATCACTTTATTGACCAGCTTTATTGACCTAGGGTAATAAAGTACACATTTTTGTCCTAGAGCAATAATGGGCTCTTTATTGCCAATTATTGACCTAGGGTAATAAAATACACATTTTTGCCCTAGAACAATAATAGACACTTCATTAACCCTTATTGACCGCTAGGGCAATAAATAAATTAAAATAAAGTACACATTTTTGCCTTAGAACAATAATGGGCACTCTATTGACTATTATTGACCTAGGGTAATAAAGTACACATTTTTGCCCTAGAGGAATAATATTCACTATATTGGCCATTATAGACCTAGGATATTAAAGTACACATTTTTACCCTAGGGCAATAATCTGCACTTTATTGACCATCATAAGAGGTAACTTAGTTTTAGTTATATTTCATTATTAATATCATATTTAATTAATTAGTTAAAAGAAACTTTGTTTCTCTAATTGCTTTTTGTTGAATCAATTTTTAAACTATTTTTTCAAACAATTCTTTTAAACAATTCTTTTATATTCCTTTTATATAAAAAAATTTTTTTTTTCAAAACCTTTTATATAAGCAAAAAAAAAAATTGCAGAAACAAAAGAAAAATCGAATAAAAATAAAATTTTTAAAGACTGAGGAAAAAAATAAAGAACGAT